AAAAAAGAGCGCTTATATCCTCTCTCCTTAATCTAAGCATTGTTCTATTAACAAATACAAAATAATATGTAAAAAGTACTCTGAAAAGAAAAAAAATATTAGGTATTATTATCTAAACTATCTGGAAGACTATCCTCTTGCTTCTGAGAAAACAGGGACAATAATGAAGATTAAAGAACTATAGGCTTCAGGGGCTCCTGGATGGCTCAATTAAGTGTCCGACTCCCAATTTCGGTTCAGGTCATGATCTCATGGTTTGTGGGATCAAGCCTCATGTCAGGCTCTGCAATGACAGCTCGGAGCCTGCTTGGGATCCTCTCTCTCCCTTTCTGCCCCTTTCCCGCTCGTGCTCACTCTCTCACTCTCAACATAAATAAATAAACTTAAAACAACAACAACAAAAAGAACTATATGCTTCATCTAAAAACTGGTAAGTGTAAGGTATCCTCAGATGGATCATCTCACTTGCTCCCACTTCCCCCTTCCAGAAAGTCCATCATTCCAAACTCAAAAGATGTGTACTGTTCAACTTACCAGAGCCTTCTTCTGATATTTTATCAGCACCATTGTCACTGGTGCCACTGGGGCGAACTATACTGGAAGAACTTTGATAATTAAGCTCAGGAAGACAATCAGCACTTCCTTTTGCACTCTCGCTCTCTGATACTGTAAAGATTAAAATGAAATCATTAAGATAAAAGCTATGTACTTCATAGAAGGCATAAAGAGAAGAAGCTTTCAGTTCTAAATATTTCTATCTTTAAAAAAATTTTTTTAAAATATTTATTTATTTTTGAGAGAGACAGAGACAGAGCATGAGTGGGGAAGGAGCAGAGAGAGGGAGACACAGAATCTGAAACAGGTTGCAGGCTCTGAGCTGTCAGCACAGAGCCCGACGCGGGGCTCGAACTCACGAACTGTGAGATCATGACATGAGCCAAAGTCAGACACCCGACCGACTAAGCCACCCAGGCACCCCCTAAATATTTCTATCTTAAAATAGGTGATTAGAAAATACCAAACACCTCTACATCTATTTGTCAATCACAAGTAAATGATTCCAGTTATTTGAGGCCTCAAGACGTGTATCAAATTACTAAGTACTGGTCATGTGTGAGGTCCACACATTTTGTATTTCTTTTTGGTTGTGAAACACTGCTTTTGATGGAGGTGGGCAAAGGGGAAAAATAGAAGTCACAGACCATTAACAAAGCATTACATAAAAATATTGTTAAACCTTAGAAAAGAGCCACTGTTTGAAGAAATATATATATTTGTACTACGAGAAGAGAATTTGATTGGAGAGTGTTGTGCCACTGAGATGAGACACTTTACACATAAAGTATTTGTGTGTTGGAACATTAGGTGGTGAAGAGAGCCTGTAATGTGAGGAAAGAGGAGTTATAATGGGAACTTGGAAAATAAAATTAGTACTTTTATACTTGAAGCCACTTGTGTTTTCTGTTAATAGACGTGCACAAATTTATACAATATCAACTTAAATAATACCTACGGGAACTAGAATCACTCCCTTTCTTATCTTTTTCTTCTTGAATTTCTTCAGTAGATATATCCCCTCTTCTAACTTCATCCTTAGATAATGAATTATACCCAAGATCAGACTGGCCACCTAGGAAAAAGAGAAAAAAAAAAGAAACAAAAACCCTCTGCTGTTTATCATAAGCTTCTTTAGTGAGAACAACTGGATTTAGGAGCAACACACTAGTGTTTAGACTTACTGATGAGAAATTTTCTGGATAACTTACAATTGAAAGCATTATTTTGTCAGCCCCCCTCCTCCATCTCTACTAATGCAAGAAAGGGATGATCGCAAAGTAACATTTCTGGCTCCACACTGCAGTCAAAAGAGACTATCTACATTCACACTACTGTCCGGGATCCTAAAGGTACAGACTATCCAGATGTTCTTTAAGCCCATGACCTTTCCAGGTTAAAGTCTAAGTTCCAGCTAAGCAATGGAGAAGAAAAATCTGCAGGGAATTCCTGACAGAACATTCACACGCAGATCACTGAAGCCAAATGTATAAATGATTCTACCCAAAAATCATTTAGGTTTGGGTTTATTTAAATTTATTGATAGGTAATTATTTTTCTGCAAGTTCAACGGAATAATTAGTGAATTGCACTTGAGTACAGATACATGGGAATGAGAAAAAAATGTGTCACTGTTAAGAAAAGCAAACCCTGCACTGATAGAAGAAAACTTCTAATACATTGCTGTTCAAGAAGTCCTCTGTAGTTTTCAGCAAATTGTTTTCACTAGATTAGCATCAAAATACAAGGTTTTAAATCCCACTTCTCCATCTTAGGAGACACGATTTTTTTTTCTTTTTTTTTTTAAAAAAAATTTTTTTTTCAACGTTTATTTATTTTTGGGACAGAGAGAGACAGAGCATGAACGGGGGAGGGGCAGAGAGAGAGGGAGACACAGAATCGGAAACAGGCTCCAGGCTCTGAGCCATCAGCCCAGAGCCTGACGTGGGGCTCGAACTCACGGACCGTGAGATCGTGACCTGGCTGAAGTCGGACGCTTAACCGACTGCGCCACCCAGGCGCCCCAGGAGACACAATTTTAAGCAAACCACTCAACCTTTTGGTTTGGATTTCAAGTCTCCAGATTTATAACACACAAAGCAGTTATGACTATATGAGAGAGGCTATATATTGAACGGTTTTATAAACCTATAAAGAACTGTGTAAAGAAACTGTATTAAGTATCACTAGGTATTTACTTTAAAATTATAATTTTGAGGTTTTTTTTTTTTTCTAATCAAACTTTTGGCTCCATTTCCACAGAAAATACAAATTTAAAAATATGAAGATGATCATGATGGAAATTCATGCTTTTGTTAGATTCTGCAATGCTTTAAAATAAACTTTTCAAAAGCCACACTTAAAAACAAAAGATAGAGGGGCGTCTGGTCGGCTCAGTCAGAAGAAGGTGCGACTCTTGACCTTAGGGTTGTGAGTTTGAGCCCCACGTGGGGTGTAGAAATTACTGAAATACAAATAAAACTAAAAAATAAAATTGATTTCTTCATTTTTAAGAGAGAATGCCTGAAGATGACTACTATAACCCGGATTAATTCATATCGCATGATCAAAATATAAAACCAGCCAAGTAAGAACAACTATGAAAATTACACTGCAACACAATTTGCTTACATTCATTACTCTTAAAAGTAGGCATAAAAGGAGACAGACCAAAATAATGCTACCATATGTAGAGAAAGAAGCCTTCATATTTTGTTATTAATGCTCAGATTTTTAATTTAAAATTTCTGTCTGTTAAGAGGTGGCTCTTACACTATGCACAAAAGTCATGTATCTTTTTTAAATGTACAATTATTCAACATATTTCAGTGTGTCAGTTTTAATTCTCAGAGGAAGATTATGTACAAATCTGATATTTTAATGAAATTAATGGCATCTTCAGTGCTAGAAGACTACAAGCTTTATATATATTTGAAAAGTTTTTTATAATGCCTTTTTATTTTACTATAGTAGAAGACTCACAAGAAGCTGGCAAAATAATACAGTACAGAGAGTTCCTGTGTACTGTTTACCCAGCTTCTCTCAATGATACTATCTGACATGAAATATAATACACTGTTAAAACCAGGAAGTTGATATTGATATGTACTATTAACTCAGATCAGGGCTATAAAGTTTCTCTTTTAAAAAACCTCTAATAACATTTTCACAATTACAAGGAAGAATTTATCCTTAAAAAATTACATGATAAAGATATCTGTGTGCTATCCAGAGTTAATTGGATTATCATCGGCTAAATACTTGAATAAACTCTCACACTTTTATTTCTATTCAAATAAAGAATGAATAAAACAGCATGTACTTATTAAACACAGTATCAAACCAAATGCCTATCATATAAAATTAAAAAGTGACAGTTAAATACATCATTGAAAATTAAAATCTAAAAAAGACAGACGAGCAAATCTAGTTTGTAAAATGTACTGTAATAAATGTATACATAAGCACACACAAACCTGTACTAGATCTATCATCAGTAGCATATACTTTGATTAAACCCGTATTAAAAGGTGCCTGCTCCACAGTTTGTGTCCCATGACCACTATCCATGCTGCCATGACTAATAGCATCCAGGTCACTGCCATCTGCTTAAGAACACAATGTGACAGCATTTTACTACTCAGGGAGATACCAAAAATACACATTAGTTGTTGCTCAAGCTTATAATCCACTAATACTGAACACGAAATGTGCCACATAATTAGCAAAACACAACTATACCAACTATAACTATTGTGAATTATTACTGAACACTAAAGCAAGATCACCAGAGCTTCATAATTTAACAGTTCCAGGAAAAAGTGAAATTTGGTGTTTTTCAAAGGGGAAAATACTCTAATATTAGAATTTGCTTAATGGCAATAAAAACTAGAAAACATTAAATATTTTGAAACTATGTAAAATTTCTAAAGAAATGTAAAGTGTAACTAGTCAATGAATTTTTTTTTAAAGTAAAACATATACATCCTTTAAGAACCTTTAATTACCTGAGAGAGTTGTTTGTGATAAGTGTGCGTGTTTCTTTAAAGCTCTTTTGAACTGTGCTACTCCTAAAACAACGTTTCTTACTTTTGTCCAAAGAAAATAGCCACTACGACTTCTTGAGGGCCAAGTACTTTCCAGAACAGCCTATGCATTCAACAAAATAAAATAATTAGTAAAATAATATTGATAAGTGAGTGTACATTGGCTTTATAGTTAAGCTAAAGAAGATCTAAACAGATTGTATAACACAAAATAGAATAAAAAATCTTATCTGGTTTAAAAAATATACTTTAGTACTCCAAAATTAATGCCAAACAAGGCCTGAATCAATGATTTCTGCCAATAAATTAAGGTTGTATAATCACAAAAGTTATACTTTTTCTCCACTAAATCAAAGTAATTACCTTATTATAATAACCATAAGTAATGGCATTGGGGTCAATACCAGCTTTCTGCATTTCGAAAAGCACTCGAACTGCAAGCACGGGCTGATCATACTGTCCACAGAGCTGCATGAGAATGCGGTAGCACACCTGAAACACAAAACGCATAGTGTACAGAAACAAAGTACGCATGAACATAAATCCAAAATAAAGTAATGCTTTTTATTTCATTTCTTACAGTTGCTATTGTTTTTCCCGTTTTTAAAATAATGCGTTAAAAAACATGTTTAAAATACATTTATTACTTTTTTTAAGTTTATTTATTTATTTTGAGAGACAGAGAAAGAGAGAATCCCAGGTAGGCTCTGCACTGTCAGCACAGAACCTGCTACAGGACTCGTAGCCGTGAGATCGCGGCTCACCAACCGTGAGATCGCGGCCTGAGCTGCAGTTGGATGGTTAACCAACTCAGCCACTCAGGTGCCCCTAAAATGCATTTGAAAAAAACTGTTACCTCATCAGGGGGATCCATCTTCTTTGACTGCATTTTTTTAAGCACATCATATGCTGTTTTCAGGGCCCTGACTTTTGAATGACATACTTTCACATAAGCTGGCAGACAAATAAACCATAGTCCGTAACAGTGACGCAGTAGACACCTAGACCACATTTGGGGAATAGAAGAATACTTCTTGGCAATTTTATGGGCTGATTTAATTTCCTAGAAAAACAATGCAAGGATCTCATTAATAAATATACACATTTAAGTATTCTTATTTATTAACTGAATGCTGAATAAGGGCAGGTCATATGTCTTTATAATATTTCGCTCACAAAATCTGTCTGTAATTACTATATAGTCAAGCCTCTGCTTGAATGTGTATTATAAGATGTGTAAAATAAAATTCTAAGATAGGAAAATTAGTTAATGTTTTGAAGTCACATTACTATGAATTCAGGACGCCTTGCAGAGCATGATAACCTACTCATATATATGGGGCAGTAAAATATATTAAGAAAGAGTATCACATTAATTTCGTTCTAATACTTGAATATATGAAAAGCGCAAAATTGTCAAAGTACCTGTTTTGTTCTTCTGAACATGGGAGAAGGGCTACTAGGACTACTTGATTTTGAAGGCAATTTGTTCTTTCGTGTTTGTAGAAATCCTTCAGGTCTCTCAAATAAATTGTTTCTAAGAACTGGAAATCCATTATAGCTGTTTTTGAAAAGAAAAAAAAATCTCAAGCACACATAGATGATCATACTGGTTACAATCTAAAAAATATTCTGACCAATATTTCAACTATTTTTCTCCATCAGACAATGATATATACTTAACAAATATTCATGCTAATGTTGCCTTGTAATAGTCAAACACAAACTCAAGTATATATTTTAGAGCTAAAAAAGCAAAATATATTTAAATTTTGTTGAACTTGACATCAAACCCTAAAGTAAATCAAGCAAGCTTTGTAAGTTAGTATTCATGTAGATACACAGCAAACATATCAGATAATATGATGGTAAAAGGTCCACCAAATCAATACGCTTTCAGACAGGACAGTCATTAAAATCACTGCTTTAGATTAAAATATTATTGTTGAACTGTCCCCTTAAAAAGATACAAATAACATATTAGTGCTCCAGGACAAACATATTATTATGAATTGGTTTATCACGTTAGTTAAGTAGGTTTAGGCCCTCATTTATGAGAAAGAAAATTGAAGAGGTTGGAAAAGAAGAAAAGATTAGAATGAGTGGCTCTACGAGGAGGTGGGCCTAATGTGGGTGCTAGAGCAAAGTATTTTGGGAATTTAAAAGGTAGCAGCAGCTAGGAAAAAGACATGCTTTTGAAAAGAATAGAAGAAGCCCCTGAGCATCACAATGAACCTACTTTAAAATCTTCCTAAGGGCATACAAATAGTTTCAATTAACTGAGAAAACCAGTTATAATAAAAGATAGTAAACTATATCTATTATACATTACTATAGGCAAATTCAGTAAAATGAAAAAATATTGATAAATATTGAATGTTAAGTAGGAATAAATTAGCAAAGAAGTTCAGGAAAACTATGCCCCTTAAAAAATTCATTGTATGTACATGTGTGATAATGAGACCATTCTGTGTGTCTTATGGAAACTTGCTTACTACCTTATCATTTTACACAGACAATGTAAGAATATGAGTCACCTCTCACTAAGAGGACCCACTGTACTCATTAAAGACATTTAAGTTGTTTTTCCAATGATTGGTATGATTACACCAGAATTATATTGTTAGTCTCAATTCAAAGAGTGACTTAGACTCTTTAAAAAATAGAAACTTTCCAAGCTAAGCAATTTTTTATTAAAGTAAATCTAAAAGTTAAATTTTGAAAAAGTTAAAAGCAAATCATAAAAAAAACAAAACTTTATTAGTGAAACATGTCTCCCCACAAAAGTCTTAGCAGTATAATGTACCAAAGGGATCAAAGAAATGAGATCTTGTTTAGAAAGAAAAAAAAAAAAAAGGTGAGAAAGAAATTAGGAGAGAGATTTTGAACACCTTTGACAAAAGGCAGAATTTTAAAAAGTGATCTGAGCAACATCATCAATAGACAAAAAGTAAGGGCAGAAGCCAAGTGGCCTATGAATTAACTGACATTCACAAACACCTGTTGCACCACTTTTGTGTCTGTAAAAGGAAGAATTTAATCCGAGTTACAAATAAGGATGTTCTGAAAAATCCTTTTTCAATGAAAATGAACTATGACCTAATGAGTGATAGATGTGAAATGGCTTTAAAGTAAGAAAATATTATTGGAGAAAGAAATCATTTATTATCTAAAACGAAATATCAGGGGCGCCTGGGTGGCTCAGTCGGTTAAGCGTCCGACTTCGGCTCAGGTCATGATCTCACGGTCTGTGAGTTCGAGCCCCACGTCAGGCTCTGTGCTGGCAGCTCGGAGCCTGGAGCCTGTTTCAGATTCTGTGTCTCCCTCTCTCTGACCCTCCCCTCCGTTCATGCTCTGTATCGCTCTGTCTCAAAAATAAACAAACATTAAAAAAAAAAAATTAAAAATAAATAAATAAATAAAATGAAATATCAGTTTAGGGGCACCTGGATGGTTCAATCGGTTAAGTGACTGACACTTAATTTCAGCTCAGGTCATGTTCTCAGTGTTCCTGAGATTGAGCCCCGAGTTAGGCTCTGCACTGGCAGCTCAGAGCCTGCTTGGGATTCTCTCTCTTTCTCTCTCTCTGTCCCTCCCCAACTCTCTCTCTCTCAAAATAAATAAATAGGGGCACCTGGGTGGCTTAGTCAGTTAAGCTTCCGACTTTGGCTCTGGTCTTGATCTCATGGTTTGTGGGTTGGAGCCCCGCGTCAGACTTC